TTAGTTCAAATAGTGCCCTAATTTCATTTTTGCTCCGGGGCTCTTTGTTGCATAGTTACACCACTGAGTAGAATCAGCAATCACAGGGTTCTTAGCAAAGGAAAAGTATGGTGGTATTATACGATTAAATCCTTGATAGAAGGCTATAAAGGACCTGCCAACGGATTATTAGTTTACTGCATAATGCATATGAACGAGCTGCCATTAAAGCATTTGTTTTTAAATATTAACGGAAGCACTTCGGGACCCAAGTCTTATACTGATCAGTTGGGAAAGATACTGAAAACTTGTGAACAAATGCCAATTAAGAAATTCCAACCCATCTAAGCAGAATCCCTCCCATAAATGGCCCCAGATTTGAGCACAGATCAAAAGTACTTGCACGAGATCGTCTACGCGGTACAATCAAGTTCTTTTCCAGAAGATCTAGCAAGGTCTCCAGGTGTGAACCTCATCATCACATTATTTTCTACACATTCTCATGCTCGCTGGCTCACACGTGCTAATTGAATCCTATGTTTGTATGTAGCAACAGAGAAACCATCAGAGAATTTGATTGCTCTGGCTACATTTGTCGTAAAAGTTTACGCCCCAGCTTAGTTCTAAATTTAGAATAAACCATCATGTAAAGATGGAGCTCGACATCTATTTAAAATTATATTAGCCTCCAGGTATCTGCCAGAATTCTTGAAAGAAGTGATCGACCCCGTCATTCAACGCAATGGCTACTTCGCACATCCTGAGAATTGTGCTATGAAATCCATTATAAACTGCCAGGTCATAAGATACCTTGAGCACCACCAGCTAATTAGTGACCGCATTGGCGGCCTAGTTCTAATCTTCTAATTTACTTGTCTCATAGATGAGCGGAAGCAGTAGAGTCTAAAGAGGCCTCGCTTGTTACTTCGAACATAGCGGAGGCTTTCGATGGACTTTCGCACAAAGCGCTTCTTTAGAAGCTTCCTTCTTATGGGTTCCCCGAGAAATTGTGCAATTGGATCATCAGTTTTCTTGAGATCGGAGCAACAAGGTTGCTAATATTTCTCGGAACAAACTTCTCTCTGAAGTCGAATCTTTAATAAACAAAATTTCTGATTGGAGACAACTATAATGATTTAACCAGTCCAGTTTAAGAGGAGTATTACAAAAAAATGCGAAATTACAAGTTTTCCTCGCTGAAATTATATGTTTTTCGTTCGTTGCTTGAAATAAAAACTACTTGGTAAAAATAGTTCTTTTCTCTACTAAAATAAGCTCAGAGGAAATTTTAGATAACTTATTTATTTATTTAGTAATAATCATACTGCCGATGCATGTTTAGGCCAAAACTCTAAGAGACATGATTTAGGAGATCTATTTTGTAGATTCTACCGACCATCAAAAAAAAATATTTTTATCTCACAAATATCCTATACTTTAATAATGACAAAAATACATTTTCGTTATATGCATTTTCGTTAAAATCAATTAACGACCGAAAAAGCTTCGATAAAAGCCCCAATATCTCCGGAGTTCTACGTCGTTTTGACGTAAAATTTATACCAAAGCATTTGCTTAAACTATACTTTATTTTAATTAATTTAAAATAATTTTTATTTTTACTTTTTAAATCGTCACTATTTGTATTCTATTCCCTAGATCACGCTATCAAAATTCCGAATCATAAACAGTATATATAGAACATCTCCGAACTATCACACAGAGTGATGGTCGCTCACCGGGCAGAACACCTTGCCCGGCGGGAGATCTCCCCTTTGCCTTGTACGGCCACAGTGGTGACCCCGACGTGATCTGAACACGCAACCAAAAACCTTTGGAAACTACAACTTTAAAGCCTTCGTCATTATCCCCAAGAACCCATTCACTACTGAGAATCATCTCCTGCAGTTTTCAGTTCCTGCAAGCCAGTCCAACTTGTCTTCATCTCGACTCACTGCAGATTTATAAGGCAGACTTCTGGCACTTGCTCCGGCACATCGTTCTCACCGGCATCACTTGCCAGTGCGTAGTACGGCATGCATTACACATCGGAATATCATTCGCACCGGTGTCACTTCCTCCTACGCACACAGCATGCATTCCCCAACAGTATTAAGGACGCACCGGCAATCGGACTGCACTTTCGACCTCCAGTCTAAGAAGGGGGGTGTTGTGGCGGCGCGAAACACACCGAAGCCTAAATCACGCTATCAAAATTCCGAATCATAAACAGTATATATAGAACATCTCCGAACTATCACACGGTGTTGGCCGCTCCCCATACAGAACACCTTGTCCGGCTGGAGATCTCCCCTTTTCCTTCTACGGCCACACTATTACTTTTTAATTAATTAAATAAAAGTACCACATATTTCACTGTGTCGACCACCTGAATTCATTACCGCGCGAGTGGTTCTCTCGGTCGGACCAGTGTCGCTTTGTTTCGCGCGCTCCTTCTCGTTTCGATATTATCGTAATGTGCGTCGATTGCCTTGACGCTGCTAATTTGTGCTAGAGCATCGTCAACTACGCTCACAGTTGTTAATCGTTGGAAGAATTTACATTCGTACAGTATTTTATTTTTCAGTTAGTATAAAGTTCGGACATTATTATTATACCAGATAGTGTTCACTCATTATAGTTATTTTGATTGTAGCTAAGCTTTATTACTAGTGGGAATGGGGGAAAATAAATACAAGTACCAATGTGTCACTAAACGTAAAAAAGAAATATCCTATCTCTGGAGAAATAATAATGGAGAATAAAAATGTCTGCATGCTTCCCATATGGACTGGCCCAGATTATGCAGTAAAAGTATTAAAAATTTACAAAGACGATTTATAATATCTTACCCAAGTTAAAAGCGTTTTATAAAAAGTGGTCCTGTCTGAAATTATTGACTCGAAATAAGCTAAGCGGTCAATGCCGTTGCGGCAAATATTTTTATAATAAAAAATTGGTAATTGACTGCAAGTACCGATTAAAAAAGTATTAGTTACAGTTGGTTATTTTATTTACTAAAACAGGTTGCAACCGTACTATTTATTTATTTATACCACTATGCTACCGTTAGTAGATATAATGGATTATTAATCAACATCGGTTAACAATCGATTACTGCGAAACTTATTTCAACTTATTACTTATTACAACACTAAGGTTCATAAATAATGAAAAATATATCAAATAGATTATAATAAATTAATTAGAAACCATAAAAATGACACACCAAAAATTTTTCTTAAAACTTGTATAATGGAAGATCAAGATCATTTAGTATCATAGTGCGAGCGAATGAATAGAAATATGAAATAAAGTATCGGTCGCGTAGGTCGTCGCCCACTCGGAGCGTACAATACCTAAATTTGCGTAACGCCGAAATTTAAGAGGTCTCTTAAACTTCTGAAGACACAATTTTGCGCGTTTACTTCTAAAAAGAACCCTTTTGTCGTATGTCCTCAATTTCAGGGCACTCTCCGTGCTGCCTCAACCAGAATTGGAATGTACAGTTCCGGAGGCACTTGTAATGGAAGGTTAAATTGGCCTCTAAAAAGTTTAGAATGAGCGGGACAGTATTTCATGACGGCACACTGTTTTAACTTTAGAAGGCGCAAGTTCACCCTTACATGGGGTTTGACTGTTGTCATCTCGGTCCAGAGCATCCCAGTGCTAGCTCCTTCCACTTGACCGCATCCAGTGAAGAAAGGCTCGAATTGTCGACGACCCAGTTCGTTCTGATCGGCAATTCACTGGCGCTGCGAACAGGTGTTGCATCCCATTGCATTTTTTATCGCATTTTTCACGGACAAATTGTTCGGATTGATTCCAGCCGCCATATTCCACCAACAGACATCGGGAAAAAACTCACGGTACCATCCACACAATCTGGATGCTTGGTGGTCCATTGTGACTGTGCGATTTACTAGGAGTTTTCTTCCTCGCAAGACACTTTTTTGTGGAATTATCTACCACCGGCGATTTTTCTGAACCGATACGACCTAAGGACCTTTAAGAAACAAGTTTACTGCTAGCCCAGCTGGACAAAAATATATTAGTCATCAATCAATTACAGCCTATAAAAGTCCACTGCTGAACATAGGCCTTCTTCATAGATTGCCTCAAGAAGGGGGATTTTGCCATTGCCACCACGCTTGGCGGGCGAGTTCGAAAAAGCAGTCTTTTATTATATTGAGCTGTAATCAGGAAGATGCTGCCCCACATCTCCCCGTTTCATTTTCCTCTGTCAGGTAGTGGATATTTTTAGACTGCCACCACATGGTTTATTTACAATCAAACCTGTGAAAGTTGTGTTTTTTATTACGGATTTATAATTACATTGTAGAAATTAAAAACGACACACATTGAATAATAAATCATATGTATTTAGTGGCAAATCTATAAACAAATAAACATGGGCAAGTTGTAAGAGTATTAAATTTGTCTATTAATAATTATTGTCTATTAAAAAGAATACTGAATCAGTTTTACTGTTAACATGGCACTAAATTTCTCTCAGAGTACTAACAGCTCAATTTACGAAATCTTAACATGCAACTTCATTTCTCAACTTAGGACTATACAAATACACAATGATTAAATATTCACATTAACAAATAATTATTTGAAATAGGATGCAATATTAAAATTATTGTAATATCAGTCATTTAATAAGCTTATATAATAAATATCACATCTTGGGGCATACATTTTCAATACAATATTTCATTACAGTTAATTAATGATGTCGTTAGATTCTGACATTACTTCATAACATCCTTAAATTGATTTAGAATAGATTCTGCTGAGACTTTAATTGGTCTATCTGTAATGCGAGTCTTCTATTTGTTTCCACTAAGACATTCTGATTTTGAATCAAATTTTGTATTTGTTCACTCATGCCAGATAGCTGCTTCTCCAAAAACAATTTTTGTTTGGTCAAAGCCATCATTACGTGAAGGAAATAATTACGGTTATCAACTGCAACATCAGATAAAGTGAACTTGATAAAATCTTTTAACTCTTCAAATTGTTTTCGAATCTAAGCTAACTTCCTGAGCATTAATATTTGGCGGTTTAATATTAGACATAATATTGTTACATGAGTTCCTACAGTCTTCCATTGCACCATTTGGAATAAGTAAAGGTGAAGGGAAACCCAAGTTGTCAGCAGTCCTACTAGTAATTGGTGTAGATATTTTGTTTATGTTCTTTTCAGCATCCAACTGATGATATCTCATTTCATGTTTATCACTATTCTTCTCATATTCAGATGATTTGTTAGCATCATCATCAAAATCAACATTTGATTTATCAAGACCCATCATAACAAGGAATGAATCAACTTTATTATCCACTACTTGTCCAGATACATCTAAATTATTCTTTGGTGGTGTATCACTTATGAAAAACAAGTCAGATGTCCTTGTTCTCACTGGAGACTGTATTTTAAGAGGTGAGTTTGCTTCAACATCCTCTCTAAGACTCACATCTGCTGAAAAGGTTTTCTTTCTAAGTGGTTGAAATGCAACTTTACACACCTCTGTTTCATGATCTCGTAATACTTTAAATGGATTTGTTAAATCACGAAGATCATAAACTAGGATATAGCCTTTTTTTGTGCCGAGTGCAACTTGGTTTTCCAGATTGATTGCTAGTGAAGTCAGTGTATATGATGTTCTTGTAGTAGAAACTACATTTTGCAATCTTATATCATACACATGCATGATTTTATCATAACCACTTGATAGTAATACATCCTTATTTATTAGAGAAAATGCAATGTCACTTACAGGTGATGCGTGAATGTTTTCAAAATAGTTTTTGTCCTTGTTTGTAGTGATATCTCTAAGTACTACATGTCCTTCATCAGTAGCAAGTCCTAGCAAAGATCTAGAATCATGGTGGAATTTCATAGCGGAAATGCTTTTAGAGCAAGAAAGTTTTACCGTCATTACGGGAATATTAGATACAAGGCCGTAAATTATTGTATCGCCATTTAACATAGTAGCGGCTAAGCTTGTGTTTTTAGCGTTATAACTGACGAAGTTAACACAAGAAGGCAGTGAAGGTGTTGGAAATGTTTTGGTTATAGTTTTATTCTTGGTGTCCCATATCATAACATTACCGCTTTTTGTTCCCACAGCAATATTACGATGACCATCACGTTGAAAACTAGCTGACCATGTATCCTTTAATGGAATTTGCTGTAAGCTTCGAACTTCATGATCTGCAGGACTCAATACATCAACCAGACCTTTGGAGTTAACCTGAAATAGGATAAAATTAACATCTTATATATTTAGAAGAAAGAATATCGTAAATAAATACGAGGGTAGATTGAAAAGTTCGTGGCCTCATATAGACATGATTAAAAAAATTATTTCTTTCTGCTTTCATTATATTCAGTAACTCTTTAGTTATCACTGTGTGAAGTTTCATTTAAGTGTTAGGTTAGTTTAGTTTACGACGAGTTGTTTTTGAATTGGGATTTTCGAACTTTTCTGCAAGAAGGGTACCGAAGCTCCAGTCGAACCTAAACGCAACCGACTTGCTATTTCGCGCGATTGTTTGGAGTTGTTTCAAACCAATCCCCACAAAACTTTTTAGGGAGATTTGTTACTACTGATGAAACTTGGGTTACACAACAATAATAATAATATAATAATAATAAAGCCTCTTTATTAACCTTAATAGAAAATAATTACAATAACAACAATTATATGTACGCTTAGAAAATAAAATAAAATATACAATACATAACATAATTAACGCACTTTGAGAAAGTAGTTTGTTCAGAATCATTTACTGAATCGATTCCTATCATTTTTACTATAGGTAATTTTTTATCCCAAAAATAATTAAAACTACGTAAATTACAGTCACACTAAATCTGTACAGTCAAAACAAACTGAAATGGACCGTAACTTAAGGCAATAAGACTTTTAAGAGTGCAGTTTTATTTGTATTATTACTAATTCTGTCATTCAATAAAAATAAAGAAAAATGAACTTTATTTCAAGCATGTTAAAGTCTTTTGATTTTTTATTTGAATTTGATTTGATTTGCGTTCGTGGATTTGTACTGTGACCACAACATTCTTCCGGAATTAGTATAACTAATTTGATAAATAATCAGTGCATAAAAATGTTTACCTACCACTAATTGGGGTGTCTGAGGGTATGCGTTAATTACGTTACATATTGTATATTTCAATTAAGGACCCCTCTTTGGGTAAATGCCTCCTCCATCTTTTCGGTTCTGTGCTATCGTTGACCAATTTTTTCCTACTGTCTTTTCAATCTCATCAACCCATCTTTCTTTCGGTCTTCCTTGCTCGCGTTTGCCTGTTGGTCCTGTCCACATGGTTAATCGTTTAGTCCATTTGGTATCTGTAGATCGTGCTACATGACCTGCCCACTTCCACTTCAGTTTTTGAGAGTAATGTAATGAAGATCCATGTTTAGCAGCCATATGTGAGACAGGGAAGTATGCAGCAATCCATGACTTTCTTTTTTAAATTTAGCGGTAGATTAGCATTGAGTACCTCTTTGTGTTTCAAAAAATTATTACAGGTTATAGCAATTCTCCTATCGATCTTGTCTTGATTTCTAAAAATTTTAAAAGATGTTTGTTTGCCTAGGTAGTTATAGTGGTCTACATATTCAAGCTCTATGTCATCTACTTTTATTGGGTGTTTTGTGCTATTTGTGCATACCTTCGTTTTTTCGGTGTTTAGTTTTAGGCCTATTTTTGTGCTTACATTGTTAATTTCTTGTATCATGGCTTCAACTTTTTTATGTGAATTGGAGAAGATAACAATATCATCGGCGAAGCGAAGGTTGTTCAAATAGTTGCCATTGAGATTAACTCCTGCTTTATTCCAGGATAGGTCTTTCATAATGTGTTGTAGTACTGCTATGAAAAGTTTAGGTAAAAGAGGATCGCCTTGATTTACTCCTCTACCTATTTTGATCTCAGGTCCTGTACGATCAAGTTTAACTCGGCTTGTGATTTGTTCATAGATATTTTTTATGATAGCTATATATGTTTGTGGTATTTTTTGCTGTTTGAGAGCTCTCCATATACTGTGATTTTGTCTGTAAGCAAGGTGGGCAGGCAATGGCATCAGTATTCTGAGATTCGAAGAGAGTCATTATGGTCGATTACCTACCGAAAGGAACCACCATAAACTCTACTTATTACTGCATGATTTTACGTCGGTTGCGTCATTTAAATTCAGTAAAATCATGTATCATAGTAAAATCACGCAGTAATAAGAAAAGCGCCTAGGAATGTTAACCAAATAAGTGTTGTTTCATCAAGACAATGCACGCCTTCACACATCCTAGGAAATTATGGCTGAAATCCATAATTGTGGGTTAGAATTACTTCCACACCCCGCTTAACTGACCTCCACCTTTTTCCCAATTAAAAAAACACCATTTAGGAGGACAGAAATTTTCAGCAAACAAAGAGATTAAAGCTGCCGTTAATGCCTATTTTGAAGGCCAAGATGAGGCATTTTTTGAAAATGGTATAATGGCTTTAGAAACCATATGGAAGAACCGAAACTGAACTGAAGATATGAATAAAAGTGCAGATTACTTCGAAAAATAAAACTAATTTTAAAATCTTCTGGTTTTATTTTCATATTCAGGCCGCGAACTTTTCAATCCCCCCTCATATAACAAATATAATAAGTCAACATTTTGTAAGGTGATTTAGTTAATAACTCTCTCAGCAAGTCTTTAACTAGTTTTTCAGTTAAAATGTAGCCTAGGTCACTTCTGGCATTGCTTTCTATCTGTTCGAGAAGTTTTATTACAGTTAGTTTAGCCGTTCCAGAGATTAGCATGGACTGGCAGACAGTCTAAATAAAATTTTAAGAATGGTTAATTATGTCTTAACACTTTGCACATAACCCCTTCAGCTTAATATAAGGCAGTTATTTCGCTATTACAGACAGACACTTTTGTTTTAGAGCTGTGGTAGCTCAAGGTAGTGTACATTCAAAAGGTGAAAACAGTGTGGCCTGTAGTTGAAGTTAACAGGCTGATGTACATAGGTGCATTTTTAAGTTCGCGGAACAGGTAGGTAGATATTAAGTGGGGACGTCGCTGAATTACATGCTAATTGAGCAACTCATTATTAGTATAAATACCTGGTTTTATTGTAATTAGATCATTAGTCTTTGAGTTATCGTCAATATTATGTATTGATAATGTTAAGGGTAAAATTGTTATATATATGGAAGGTAGATTTGATTAGATATATATATTATATTAGATATAGATATAGATAGACCGCAAAGGAGAAAGCCGATCTTCTAGGCTCTTTCTTTGCGTCTAACTCGACTCTCGATGACGGGGGGAGTACGCCGCCGACCATCCCGCGGTGTGAGTGCTCCATGCCGGAAGTGCAGTTCACTCAGCGCTCGGTTCGCAAAGCACTCCTCTCCCTGGACATCCACAAGTCGAGTGGGCCTGACGGAATCCCCCCAATTGTGCTGAGGACGTGTGCTCCAGAGTTGGCACCGGTTTTAACGCGTTTTTTCCGGTACTCCTACTCCCTAGGCGTAGTCCCAAAATCATGGAAGACGGCTTTCGTCCACCCGATCCCTAAAAAAGGCGACCGCTCAGACCCGTCCAACTACCGGCCCATCGCCATCACCTCCTTGTTCTCCAAAACAATGGAGTCCATTGTAAACTGCCAGCTCATGAGGTACCTTGAGGATCACCAGCTGATTAGTGACCGCCAATACGGTTTTCGCCGTGGTAGGTCAGCTGGTGACCTTCTGGTCTACCTGACTCACAGATGGGCGGAGGCAGTAGAGTCCAAGGGGGAGGCATTGGCCGTTAGTTTGGACATTGCGAAGGCCTTCGATCGGGTTTGGCACAAAGCGCTTCTTTCGAAGCTCCCTTCCTATGGGCTTCCCGAGAAATTGTGCGATTGGATCACCAGTTTTCTTGCAGATCGGAGCATCAAGGTCGTTGTAGACGGTGCAAGCTCCGATTGCAAGCCTATTAATGCTGGTGTTCCACAGGGCTGCGTGCTATCGCCAACGCTGTTTCTTCTGCATATCAATGATATGTTGCAGACCCGTAACATTCATTGCTATGCAGATGACAGCACTGGTGATGCTCTTTACACCGGCCGAGCCAATATTTCTCGGGAAAACGTCTCCGAGTGCCGGGACAAACTTGTGTCTGAAGTCGAGTCTCTGCTGGACAGAGTCTCGGATTGGGGGCGACTAAATCTAGTCCAGTTTAACCCCCAGAAGACACAAGTTTGCGCGTTAACCGCTAAAAAGAACCCCTTTGTCGTATCCCCTCAGTTTCAAGGCACTCCCCTTGTTGCCTCAGCCAGTATCGGAATCCTCGGCGTCGACATATCGAGTGACGTGCAGTTTCGTGGTCACTTGGAAGGGAAGGCCAAATTGGCCTCTAAAAAGCTTGGCGTGCTCAGCAGAGCGGGACAGTATTTCATGCCGGCACACCGCCTGCAACTTTACAAGGCGCAGGTTCGGCCGCACATGGAATACTGTTCCCATCTCTGGGCTGGGGCTCCCCAGTACCAGCTCCTTCCACTTGACCACATCCAGCGCAGAGCGGCTCGAATCGTCGACGACCGAGTGCTTTCCGATCGGCTCGATTCTCTGGCACTGCGAAGAGATGTTGCATCCCTTTGCATTTTCTTTCGCATATACCATGGAGAGTGCTCTGAGGAATTGTTCGGATTAATCCCAGCCGCCAAATTTCGTGAACGCACTACGCGGCAAACGTCCCGATACCATCCACACCATCTGGATGCTTGGCGGTCCACCACTGTACGTTTCAAAAGGAGTTTTCTTCCGCGTACAACCTCTCTGTGGAATAATTTACCACCAGCGATTTTTCCGGACCGATACGACCTGGGGACCTTCAAGAAAAGAGCTTACTCCTTTCTAAAGGGCCGGCAACGCGTCTGCAATTCCCCTGGTGTTGCAGTTGATCATGGGCGGCGGTAGTCACTTAACATCAGGTGAGCCACATGCTCGTTTGCCCCCTCTTCTATAAAAAAAAAAAAAAAAAAAAAATTAAATGAGTTTGTTTTGCAACTTGATCTGGCGTGTATCTTTTAATGGCGACGAGGAAAATTAATTAGTTTAAGTAGTAATATGGCGTGTAATTTGACAAATGTAGTGTTTCCCGGAAAATTTGATCCCAGAACTGACAATTGGAGTGAATATAAAGAACGTTTATTGTGTGCTCTGGAAGCCGCGGATGTA